ACCCGTAGGCATAATGTGCTTATAGGCTATTCCATACAAATTGTAATATTATTTTAAAATCCTGAAATGTTATGTTCTTAGCATGACCACCATGAAGGCAATATTGGCCGTAGTTGTGTTTTCCGCTATTTTGTACAACATAGATGCAGCTTGTCATTATCAAAGTAAGTACTGTACTTCTAAATAACTAGTGGCCTGTATTTTTGCTTACAAATCAAATTGTTAATAACTTATTCTTTAATGATTATCTTTGATTGTATTTTTAAGAACAGCTTAGCTCAGTTGGCTAAACTGGTGGTAGTCACTGTGTGTGCGCTGAGCCAGATATCTTTAGTCTCTGATCGATTCTATCTATCCGCTGCTCCCCCTTTCCGCTGAAATCTCAGGCGCGGATCCAGAGTTTATCCTGACTATCGCACAGGTTGGGTCTCATGGGCAGATTTAGAGCTTCATACTTATAATGGTGACAAGTAAGATGGCAGGGTCGTGGGCGAAGGAAGCGTACTTTGTGGTTGTGGATTTATGTGTTTTTTTTCAAATGGAAAAAAAAATATTGAATTAATATGTCCAACCTGGTTTGAAATTGGGCAAAATATGTTATAGCAAACGAATATCACCGCACTCGAAATTTCAGACTTCAAAAAAAAGCTATACAAAAACCATAAATTCACTTAAGATATTAAAATACCACACACAACAATGCTGAGCGAAGCAATATTGTTTAATTAAAATCTATCAGGGATTCGCTATGATTTTATAATGTACATGACGATTCTAAATAAATTAAATCAATACAGCATAATATGTCTGCTTCATCAACGAATTGTATTCATTCAAACATCTGCTTGACTTCGTGGAGAAAAAAATACAACGAATGACTTATACATGCAGTTAAGAAAATTAATTTGAGAACTTTTATCTGGCTTAGAATAATAGATGTTTTTAGTTCTGTAAGCCTATCAGCAAATAAAAAGGAAGCATTGTTCAATATCGATTTTAAAATGAAATCTAATAAAATATCATATCAATGTTTGTAATGACTTAATTTGTGGTCTAAAAAAAGAAAGAAACAAAAGTAAATATATACAGCTGTTGTCTGGTTAGGAGCTTTTTATTTTGGCACATAATGTCGGTATCACAGGGAAAATATCAAAAAGTAAAGCAAAAAATCTGGCTTCCTAAGAACACGGCTATAATTACTAACATATGATATATTATTATAATGTCCGAAATAACCACAGACGCTCGGCGAAAAAAAAAACAACTTTCAGACATTGAAACATGGATTTTGGAGTGTGTATGTTATAATTTTATTCTTTTAAACATAAGCCTATCCAGCATCTGGTTGAGAATTAGGGCAATACATATACTATAGCATTTCTTTAGAGAACGAATGTCAATTCTCTCGAGATTTCGGACTTTTAACATAGAAAAGGCTATGAAGAGAATTAAATATCACACATATTCCAAATAGGCTGTGCGAAGCACTATATTTTTAAAACAAATTATCAAATTTGGGATTGACTTTCCATGCAGTAAAGAAATTTAATATTGGGTTAATTGCTTACAATAATGGATATTTTCAGTTCAGTATCAGCATATATCAATATAATTATTGTTTTATATCGATTAGATAATGCAAAACAAAAATTATGTCATGTTTGGTTGAAGTTAATGTTGACAGTGACCTATAGCTGTTTTCTGATCTAACACCTACTACTAAAACTCTATTATGTATAGGTTGTAAGTCAGGAGAATTCTATTTTGGCAATTAGTGCCGGTATTACTTGGGGAAAGGGGAATATGAATGCGTTACCGTCATATCCGGCTTCGTAATTACAAAAAGAGAACTTTTATAAAAAGACGATGTATTAATATTAATATTAATATATAAGCGCAGCATCAAACAAGGAGCCGGATTTTATCAAACTAGAAACCAACTTAAATTAGTCTTTTTTTTTTTTAGTCTTAAGCATATTTTTGCTTAAGTCAGATTCAACAATAATGCTTAGCTTAAAAATTGCTTAAAATAAAAAAAGTCGATTGTAACGCATGCACCATCTAAGGCGATTTTTAAGATTTTGCTAAGATGGTTTGATAAATCAGCTGAGATTTTTTTTCGAGCCTGATTTATTTCGCCAAGCGCGGCTGCTCTCAAATTAGCGCAGCGGCGCTTAATCGAGAGTATAATATTACCCTCTGTGTGTAATGAAACAACAGGGTTTTAAATACATTGTGTACAGTGTTAAAATGAATAGATAACACAATGAAGACAAAAGCATTCTTTATAAACGTTTATTTACGATGACGTAGGACATATGATAGGCCTACTGAACTACGGGAATACGTGAGATAGGTATAAAGGGAACGGCATGGAAAGCGCCACACCAATATTTGTTATAAGCGCCCCTCTGGAATAACCGCTGCACTGATACCTTACAAGGGTGGCGGTGCTAATTCGCAAGCATTTTCGGTATTTAGAATTCATACTTGATGCGATATTTTAAATGTTTTTTTACACAAAAATATATAGGCCTATGGAAATGCAGGTCTATACTGATATAATTTATCTAGTGTGTACATTTCCACACAAAAAGTCCTTAACAACAACAGCGCGTATTTTGACGCGCTTTTTTTATTTCACGAACTAACACAATTGAATTTAATTGTGTTAGTTCGTGAATTTTTGAACGTTAAAGAAGAGGAATCTGCGAGTGCGAAATATAAGTTGCTCCAATTGAGATTCGAACCCAGGCCCTTCTGTTATATATAATAGTATCCGATGTACCGGTAGTCGGTTCCATGTATGACTCACAGAAATATATATTCAATTCAATTCAATTTTATTCGAAAAATACCTCCAAATAGGAGAAGCATACAAATAAAAACACGTTCAAACATCGGAAACAGAACATTGACTTAAATTATAAAAAGACAAATAATTAAAACACAGCACAAGATAAACTAAACTAGCATAAGTATATATACAAAATAGAACAGCAAAACATAACCTCTCATTTAGAAGCTTCTGAGTAACAATTTTAGGTAATGAATGGTTTCGTTGTTTAGGGAGGGGTCAAACCCCATAATGGTTTTTATACTGTCACAGATACCGTGATCATTACAGTCGATGAGCTTTAATCTGTTATTCAGATCTTTGCGATAGTGATTATTTGTAACATACAATGATAAGTAAAAATCACCAGTACTGCACTTAATCTTATCGACCAGAGTGTTCTTAATGTTTTTGCAGCCATTGGCCTCAACATTTAAAAGGTGACCCTATAATTTTCTCGATTTAGAGTTATTGCAAAAGATCTGGTAATAGCACTAGCATTTGTGCTAATATAAGTATAAGCAAATACAAAAATGAAACGATTGCATACGTTGACATAATCGAGACATAACATTTATTTCTTCAAGACGAATATATATATATATATATATATATATATATATTTATATATAAAGCGCATAGAGGCACTGCGCAATATGCGCTATATAAATGTAACATTATTATATATATACACACATACATACATACATACATACATATACAGTACATACATATATATATGTATGTATATATATATACATATATATATACTGTATATATAAATGGCTTTATACATATATATATATAAATATATATATACACACATACACCTGTCTCTTATACACATCTAGATGTGTATAAGAGACAGATATATCCCTCTAATTTACAAATCCATGCGCCAATCACTGCGCCGCACGCCCTCCACATAATTATTATTTTTTATTATTAGTGAGTGATAAAATTTCAAAACACATGATGATGCTGCATTTACGGTATATTTGTAGGTCCTATATCTTAAATTTTCTTGATCATTGCGGTGACATATTTAATCCAAATCCTTACGACTGCGCTGATTAATAATTGATTAAGTTCAATAACCTGATGGTTTTGTTTTATATCTCGTAGAAGCTACATCACCAATATTCCAGATCACTGCGTCGATATCTTTGACGACGCAAACTGCGTCCATCATGTCGTTGAGAAGTCAGACCCATCCAAGAAATGTTCAGGACCTATTGGGGCTGTCGGAAAATAGGCTTATATTTTTAAAATGCCGTAAACACCTCATAATTATGAGTATAGGTGACAACGGATATATACATACTACCGACATAGTGTTGTTAACGTGGCCGTAGCTTGTATAGAGAGACATAGTTTAGCCATGGAGGAAATATACTATATTTCCGCCATTGTTTAGCTTACAACTAATTTACAACAGGCCTAAATCAACTATAAAGCAATCATAAATGAACATAGTTAAAGAAAAAATGTACGAGATCCCTACTCTCTTTATGGATACAATAAATACAACAATAAGTTTATATTGTTGTTAAATTGATGTCATTTGTCACATTGTCCTTCATTATTGAAGTCGAACATCATTACTTTTCATGCATGGAAGACACTTAATGTTTACAGCATTTGACACATCAGTGAGTGTGTTTTCGTAGTTAAATTACCTTGTTGGTTTCCAACGACCTGGAATTGTTAGCTAAAACACAACATTTATATCATTTTTGTGTATTTTCTATTTCTTTTAAATCTGTTTCTCCCCTCCAGGTAGATCGACACAGACTTGAATTTTACAACATCGTCTCTTCTTGCTGTTTGTTTAGAAATTTTTTTTCCCTTTTTTTTTTTTATCTATCTATATCTTTCGGGCTGTTCCATTAATTCTGATTTCACTCACGACCTGCCTGCTGATAGGTTAAACCCTCCATTTAAATTAACCCTCGATGGATATTTCAATGGATCTAACCCGTTGTGTAAGGCTTTGTCTTTTATCCAATCAGGATGTACTTAAGTGTATTTGAGAGAGTTAAGCCGGATAATTTCTCTTCCTCAATGTCCTTAACCTTTTTGCTTGAGCATCTCTTCATCATCATTTTCTTAATAACAGGACACAACGTAGTGTCTATAAAATGAGATTGTTCTTAATATTTGAACGCAGGTCCGGTGGTCATCAGTCCAGAATTTGACTTGTTCATGGCTAGTACAACACTAGAGATTTATTGTATCAGGATCCACACTAAAATATTAAGACTGTGGAGTTTAAGAGAAAACTTTAGTCTTGGAAAAAGAGATGAAAGTTAATACAGGAGGTGAATTAATCCCTGTATTAAGCACTTGGAGTTGTTAATCGATTCCTAATTTGACTTGAGTAAAGGTGTGACCATAACATATTTAAGTACAGGTAGACATAACCTGTGCCATTCACACATACACAAGCATACCATTCAAACACATGTCAAATTGCAAAGCAGACGGATCAAAACTAAGGTAAGTCTTCCTCAAGTGTCAGTGGTAAGTATATACAGTTTTAATGAGCATTATTGAATAAGAATATTAATAATGATATAATTAATAATAATAATGATGATGATAATAATAATAATAATAATAATAATATTAATAACAATTATTATTATTGTTATTATTATTATTATTATTATTACTATTATTATTATAGTTAGTCTGATCAATATTAAGGCAAGTCTTATTGTATCTTGATGCATGGTAGTCTAGTCCTCAGATGTCAGTGTTAAGTATATACAATTTTTTAAATAAATACTAAAGGAAAAAATATTAATAATAGTAGTAATAATAATAATAATAATAATAATAATAATAATAATAATAATAATAATAATAATAATAATAATAATTATTATTATTATTATTATTATATCGTATGTATTTATATGAAATATTGTGGTAGGCCTATATAACCTATTTTGTCAGATGATATAAACAGACTGATGTACCATATTACAATTTACATATTGCTTTACCCATAACCCTTAGTTACAGAATTATCCACAATGACCAGTCTAACGGTGTCTTTGGCCGTACTTGTGTTTTGTGCTATTTTCTACTCCACCGATGCAGGTTGCAGATATGCGTGTGAGTAAGAACACTTAAGTAAGAATTAATGTCTGCCAAAACCCCCTTGATGAAATGAAATTTGTGCATTAGTAATATGTCAAAATAATAACTGGTATAACTGTTATCAATATATAGGCACACTAAACAAAACAAGTTGATTATCACAGATTTATATTCTACTACATAACTTGTTTAAAGGGTATCATTTTAATAATGTAATTAGGAGGAAAAATAAAATGTACTGTTAATTAAGTCAATTAACTCATTACAAAAAACATTTATTTAACTATATATATATAATTATATATATAACTATATATATATATATATAATATTGAAGGAAGTTAGCCGTAAACACTGTTGAATAAATATAATATAAATCATCAAAGGTACATATACAGTGTTTAATAAGGACGTGATGGAACATCGTAGGCTACCCTGTAGCTTTTCAACGAATAAAGTCCTATGAAAAATCATTGTGTAATAAAATTCCTTGGACGGGATTCGAACCTGCGACCTCTCGCCGACAAGGCGAGCGTCATAACCACTAGACCACGAAGGCTTCATGGTTGAACAAGTCCAAATACCCGTCGG